GAAGAAGAAGAGGGAGAAGAAGAAGAAGAAGAGGGAGAAGAAGAAGAAGAAGAGGGAGAAGAAGAAGAGGGAGAAGAAGAGGGAGAAGAAGAAGAAGAAGAGGGAGAAGAAGAAGAAGAAGAAGAAGAAGTGGGTGACATGAGCATCTGATTTACGAACTCTTAGATCACGTCAAGAGTCACAATCTCAGTTACGTTGAGCAAAGGAAGCACCCGCCCAAGATCGAACCTGCGATCATTCCATGCCATTCCTAGTCGTGACGCTCGCGACTTGGAGGCGGTAAACAATATATTTAAACCCAACCAAAAGCAAAAGGTATAAAGTACACTTAATGGCAACAGACATCTGGAATCAACTAATAATTGAACAACATATTTTTGCACTAGTGTAGAACATTACAGGATAAATAACAAACATATTAGATATTAAAACAATCGCAGCGAGTATTACTTATTATCTAATGATTCCTCAATTTCGAAACTTTAAAATATATGAAAACTTATTTACGTCGAATAATTAGTTTTAGGTATGATAAAAACCGGAACTGAAGACATAATCCACGCAATCACATAGATAAATACTGCCGGTAGAATCACAGTAGTACATACATATTCGTGAATGTTTCGTAATTATGATTTTTTCGTACTACGTAATTTTAAACAACGCTGGAGGCAAGAGCATAAAACCATTTTTAGCAATAAAATAATCAATGTCCTCGTGTTGTAGAATACGTTTCCGTCACGAAACAAACCGGCTTTCGTGAGGTTTCTCAAAGTTACTGTAAGATTGTGTAAATGGTCGAATGAACTAACCGTACATAGATTCCCCGGCTCTGACATCCATAGATTCGACAGATGGTTGTCCTCCGCCGTGAATCGAGTTTACACAAGAGTTATAATCATTCTATGATAAATCATATGGCAATAAAGCAACAACATAAATGACTACATGATATCCTAAATCTCCAGGGAGTGCTCTACCATATCGTAAACTGTTTTGCCGGGTATTCTGTTTATAACATTAGCCGAGATTAAAAAGGGGGGAAAAAAGAATTCATCGAGCGGGATAGAAAGGCAGCACGTGCAGATTGATTGTTTTCTGGCACAACGCCTGCGTTCGTCCCGTAAAAGTAGTGAATGTATTATCCCGGGAGGTGACGCTTCTCCTCCGCTGGATGGAGAGATCAAGCGACCAAAACTTCGTCTTGGGGGGGGGGTGTCCTCTGTCAGGTGTCTCCTCGCCCCAGCCATTTCTGCTATTTGAGGTGTCACTCTTCCCTTTGATGACAAAGAACAACTAACTAAATGTATGGCACATTTAGTAATATGCAGTATTCCAATACCTGTAAATCCTGCAGAGGAGATGACCAGATGAGTATGAAGTGGTGCTTACCTAGAACAAAGAAAAACAATAGATAAGTATACTTGCACATAAATACAATCAAATTATAGCTTTATTAAAGTAGTAACGAAAATGCACAGAATTGTATATGAAAATAGTATAATTTCTCCAATTATTGGTACTCGTGCTAACAAAAATTTCCTATTGTACTTGTAAATGTTATAAAACTTTTTACGTTAACTTCGGACTTCCTGGAGACTTTCCACGAAATGAAGAATTCTCATGAATAAGAGACGAAAGAGGAGGGAATTCAATTTCGGGTCCCAGGAAGGCGGATAGAGATACGTAATCCATGTTGATAGTGTTCGTTTTCCGCAGTGCAATTTCATTCTCTAGGAGTTCGAACTAATAATGTCAAAACCAACAGGAATTTAATTCAAATTCAGTAATATTGAAATTGATATGGAAATAGAAACCTACTAGCAATTTAATGAATAGTCATAAATGTAAATTAGTATATAGAAAACTAGAATAGATCTGTTATAATCCGCTCCGAGATTAGGACTAACGTAGCCAGGTCCCTCATCACGGAAAGCCGTGTTAGACACGTTTCCATTCATATCACAGAAGCCATTAAAAGGACATCGAAAAGCCGCACGTTAGCCCAATACCACGCAAACGCAATGAATTCCGATCGCAGAGGAGCAGGGAATATTCACGCGTTTAACACATGCCTGTCGGCGCCCGCACAAAAAAAAAGCCCGAGCCGCGAACGGCTGTAACTCATGTGGGCCGCACTGCGGTCGCCAGCTGCTGTGAAGAGGGGGGGGGGGG